TTTTTTTTTTTTTTTTTTTTTTGTAAATTTCTCTTCTACGAGTGAAACTCGATAAAGATTACGGCGCGAAACTATATATTTTTTAAAGAAGAAGAACTAAGTTGTGGAAGAAAATTGAAAATATTAAATTTAGGAGCATCGTATGATTTAAAGATTTTAACACGTATCATTGAATATTCAATTGTTCTTTAAGAGAGAGATATATATATATATATATAGAGAGAGAGAGAGTACATGATTGCTTGTACGTTATTCTGTTTTTGTGATTAACATTCTTTTCTAATTTTGTTTTATACAAAATTGTTTTATACAAAATTTTTCTAATTTTCTTTTCTAATTTTGTTTTATACAAATGTTTTTCTTTTTTTTTTTTTTGTTTTATAATGTAATATATATTGTGACATTTACAAAATATGTCTAAATTAAAGAACAAAAAAAAAAGTGCTAATGCATTCGACAAACATCAAAACTCTCACTGTCAGATACATAGAAAAAATAATTCACACGGTGCAATTGGACATGCGTTCTATTCAGTGTAAATGTGCTATTCGATTTGTCGCTACACAATTAAAGTGCATAGTGTTCCATAGCAACTAAGATATACTCGTGTCATTCGTAAGATTATCATTTAATCTTCTAACGGTCCAATCACATCAATTTCATTGTAAAATATTTGCTAAAATTATTATCAATTAAGTTTTCGCATAGCTTCGTTTCTATTGAATATTTTTTTTAATTTAAATCAATTTTAAATATGAAAAGAAAATGCAATTTTTTCCTTTTTTGCGTTGTATGTATGTAAGAAACATGCTCCTTTAATCGTTGACAATAATAATCATGCTCTAATGTTATATCTCGTTTATTGTACAAAAAAAAATTACTTTTGTTATTTGATATAATGTGAACACAATATTCAGAAAAATATGATAATGCATATCTGACATGTAAGAGTTTTGAAGTAATGATTTGATATTATTATTTTTAAATAAAATATTTTCCATATAACGTTTGATTGAGAATTAACGAATAAACGTATTTTTTACGTATAATAAAATTATAAATTTGAATAATTATTTCTTTAAATTTCCTGTAAATGGCCGCGAGTACATTCATCCCCACAAATTGAAGTTACTATATTTGCTGTGTAATCTGGTTACATAAAATATTAATTATTTTAATATTCAGATTAATTAAATTATACAATGAACACATTACATTAAAAACTTATCATGAAAACAATGCTCCTGGATAAAATGATATTAAGATAGAATTCTTCTCTTATTAAATATTAATCAGTCATTTATTTATATCAATTGAATTTCATTAAATTTTGTATCTATTTATAGTGTGAAAAAATTGTTTAATATAATGAATATCTTACCTGAAGGGCTACCTGGTCTTAAACTAGCACCATTAGTCTGTATTGTTTGAATTGGACTTGGTGGACGTTGGGATATTGGTGGTTCCAATATATCACGATATTTTGATACCATCAGTACAGAGATGAAGTAAACTATAGCGAGGGACAGAAACTGGGCCTGCTTGGTTTCTTCCTAGAATGAAAAAAAATATATTTTCATGAAAATATATATTATTAAAATTCTCTTAATTCTATTAAAATTAAGAAAAATTTGAACCGCTATAACTCCGAAAGTATTAACTTTTGATCAATGAATAAAAGATCATACGAAGCGCAAAACCTTCCCCTTTAAAATGCTTTTTGATTTATCTCGATACGACTTCCGGTTCCCGAGATATCATCGTGTAAAGAAATGCGTAATTTTTAATCATTTACTTAAATCTGATTCAACTCTATTAAAATTAGGAAAACTTTGAATCGCTATAACTCCGAAAGTACTAACTTTTGATCTATGAATAAAAGATCATACGAAGCGCAAAATCTTCCCCTTTAAAATGCTTTTTGATTTATCTCGATACGACTTCCGGTTCTCGAGTTATCATCGTGTAAAGAAAAGCGTAATTTTTAATCATTTATTATTTCCGTTCTTTTCTTCTGCTCGGACCTCTTGCTCGCACTTCTTTCGCTGATCTATCACAAACTCCAGACAAGTGACAGACACGATTCCTAGTAAAACGTAATACGCATTTCCAGGAAAAAAATGTAGATAACTGGATCGCAGTGGAGCCATTCATAATTTTCACACAGTCTTAACTATGTTTGGAAACTTTGAATCCTTATATCTCAGCAACTGATTGAGATATCGGGATAAAACAAAAAGGGTTTTCAATGGCATAGTTTTCTCTATATTTCGAACGGATTTTGATGAGAAAATTTTTAGTTTCCTCTGAAATTTTGTATACGAAAAGTAGAAGTTTTATTTGTAATTTTTAAAAAATGCAGTCAATTATGATGTAAAGTGTACAACGATATAATTTAGCGTATTTCTTTTTACATAATATGATATATTATCCGTATATCGAATCGAATTGAATCGAGTCGTGAAATACTTTCAAAATTTTAAATTAAATTTCCAAGTGTGCTATTTATAGTTATTAATTACACGTAATGTATCACACTTACAACATCTCTGTATATCACAGCTCTTAAGCGGTTCACGTCCATATCTTGCAGCAATTTCTCAGGATCTTTGACAGGACTTAATTGATGTGCCAGATTATCCACTATGTTCTATAAAAATAGAAACTTTATTATACTAAACCGTCATTAAATGATGTTAACGATCACTGTAAATTCTATTCTCTATACGACATGGCTTTGAATAAGTATATAGTATATGATATGTAATTTGTCAATAGTGAGATGACAAATGACAATAACACATTTCTATATATAAATTAAGTTCGATCAGATGGGACATACCTTGGGTGATGTTTGAGCTCCACGTATAAGAGACTGTATGTGCTGTGATTTATTACTAGAACCAATCTGCCGACCTAACATGCTGTACGATCTGCCACGTTCTTTACACTCTAAGCAGTTTCTAACGGCACATGTACAGACCTATAGAAGCATTTCATCAGATGAATATAAACAAAAAAATATAGTGTAAAAGAAAAAAAAAAAAACATACATGTTTCTGAAGTTCTATGTTATACATGATACGAGAGCTAAGAATATTACGACTAATTTAACACACTGATTTAATAACTATTTCTATTCATTAATGAAGATTTGCTTGTGTTAAACTACAATAGTGTTAAAGTGTGTGTGTGTGTGTGTGTGTATGTTTTCTTTTAACTTTCCTCACATGAGATATGCAATTTCTTATTTTCAATTATACAATTTTTGTTACATCCGATAATTTTATTTAAATATTTTTATATAAATAGTTTAGATATGTGCTATGACACTATAAAAAACATCGATATGTATATACAAAAAAAAAAAAAAAGAATTAACACGAAGCACACTATATAAATATTCTATTATAATATCCTAATTTAGATCTACTTCGTCTTTCGTGGAATTACGAAAATTAATAATAAAGTTTGATAGAATTGCTCGAATTTATTCCGTTCCGTTTGAACATTATTCAATATTCCAGATTTTTTTCAAAGATTTTGAAAAAAATTTATGACTACTAAAGTTAAATTTCGCATATATGGAATGGAATCAAAAATACTGGAGAAAAGAAAAATGATATTAAAAATTTCGAAAAACGAAGTTCATCTGTGATTGGTGTCTTGTGTATATTAATCATAAGTAACAAAATTTTGTTTATCAGACGTTTTGAAACATCGAATCTAATTAATTATGCATTACAAACATTTAATATGAATTTTTACAACAATCTTACTTCATCTTTCTGTTCTATCGACATACTACAATGTTTGCAAAAAGATCGTAAATCGGGCCTTAACTATGGTCAATATCAATGATATTTTCTTTCTCTCTCTTTCTTTTCTTTCTTTCTTTTCTTTTCTTTTTTCTCTCTCTCTTTTTGAAACGAAATTATACACGGCGTGACAATAACGGATGTACGTGTTGGAGGAATAAAATCTGCTACGTGGACGATAATACAAACCAGTCTTAAACACTGCCTTAGAATACCGCCACTAGACATATTCTTCTCAGCCTCCAGTTCACCGAAATTTAAAGAGCTGGCGAAGATAAGTACATCAGCCATGTTGACTAGTCTTTGCAGAAAAGAAACTGCTACCTCAATTGGCATCCCCTGAGTTGGTTCAATTACATCCAATTCGCTCTATGAATATCCAAGCACCAATTAAAAAAAAGTAAAATCCGTGAAAATGAACTTTTTTCGCCGGCTATACGCTGTTCTTCTATCAATGAAGTCAGAGAGGGAGAAGGGATGTAAATTATACGTACATTTGGCGAGGTGGCCGAAGCTAGAAGCGGTAACAATCCTCCACAGGCGATAATAAGATTGTCGGCAAGTTGGGAAATTAGATGAACGGTATTAACAACAAAAATTGCGTTTTCGCTGCTGTTCACGAAATCCAGCACCGATTTGGTTGAATGGCTGGAACACATCATCGTTGGCGTATCATCAATCGAATTTATCAATCGGACCACTCGACTTTGTTTATTAATTTTATTATCATAAGTAAGTAACGCCATTCATCCATACCTTCTCCAAACTTGAATGTCCGTCTCTAACGAAAAGAGAACATCCGAGAGTAATCTTTGATGTATGTAAGACCATTTGAACTCTGGTATTCTGAAAGGAGGACGAGTCGGCCCTGGACTGAACATTGGTCTCGTAGAAGGATTACCTTGCTTCGATCGTTTTGATTCTATTCGTGGGTGAAATTTCGGGTAATTTTTTTTCTCTTTTTTCTTTCTTTCTTTCTTTCTTTTTTTTTTTTTTTTTTTTTTTTTTTTTTTTTTTCATTTATGAAATATCGATAATAAGAAAGAAAAAGCGAGGAACGAGAGAAAGAAAGGGATACGATTTCTTACCGAAATGATTCGGATCCACTTGCGTGGACGTTGAGGCACTCCTTGGTCGTTTCTGAGGTGACGATGTTTTCCGCAAGGGGACAGGTAAGGAGGGAGGTTCGTTTACGTTATTATCGTCGGTGGTCGTCTCGGAGGACACAGCCACAGGCAAGCTGGATCTGCGATGAGCATCTACGTGATCCGAAGTTAACTCATTCAACAAAGAATTATCCCTCGCAACCACTGTAGAACTAACGATTTGAGGCACACCGTCGGGCATATTTTTATTTGCATCACAGACCGTAGATATTGTTGGAATTTGCTGTTTAGGATTTGGCACTTGCGTCACATTATCTACAGAACTTTGAATATCGCTATTACTACAAACACTATCTGTTACTTCTACCTCGTTCTCGGTTCTCACTGGAATGTCTGACTGATTATCACTTACGTTAGTAGAAATAGTGGACGGCTCCCTTGAATGTTTGTCAGTAACCTTCACCCCGTTATCAACGTTAACAACGGCACTTTTCTCCTCTTTCACAGAGTCCACGGCGCATTTCTCACTACTTAACTCACTAGTCACTACTACTGTATCCACTTTCCCCTCGTCTACGTCTACGCTCTTCTTCTTCTCCTCGTCGGCCACGTTACTCTCTATTACGCTAGTTGAGCAATTGGAATTTTTCCCGGTCTCCCCTGTGTCGTTCTCGCTCTTCTCAACGTCGACACCCGCCCCCTTCTCGCTCTCCTCCATCTTCTCCAACGGTTCCTTCGCCTTCATATCGCCCAGATTATCTTGATTCTCGGTCGGCGTCAAGTAAGCCTCCGAGGTATCGCTGTCGATCACCTCGCGATCGTTCTCCAATTGCAGCTTCTCGATATCCTTGATGATCAATGGCTCCGGCGTCTCGCTCGAGGGAACGGATGACGGCGCGTGTTCGAACGAATCGGCTCGCTCCGTTGAAGCGACAACGCTTTCCTCCTCCACGCTTTTCTCCCTTCCCTCTTCCTCCTTATCGAGAACGATCTCCGCGGATGTCTCCCCGTTCGAGGCAACGTTGTCCACCGAACTCGAGATCTCTTTATTCCTCGCCTCTTCCAACCTCGATGGAGCCTCGACTTCAGTTTCACCGTCCGCTTCAACCTCAGTTCCAGCTTCGACGCAGGCTTCGACGATCCCGGTTTCGGAGATCAGCTCCTCTCCTCCAACCTCCACTTCCGTTTCACCTTCCACTTCCTCGGTTTCACCCTCGTCTTGCGCCTTTTGAGCGTGGGAAACGTTACACTCGTCCGCGTTATCTCGCGTTCCCGTCGTTTCCTTCGACTGTTCCGCGTCTTCCTCCTGCACGCTCTCCTCCTCCTCCTGCTCCTCCGTTTTCTTTTCGGATGGTCGGCGAGGGACAGCTCCGTCCTGCGATCCAAGCTCCGAAGGATCGTCGTCCTTCTTCAGAACTTCTTGCACCACCATGGAATCCGGGCTGGAACCCTCGATCTTGTGAACCTCGCTGTAGAAATCGCTCGAGCTCTCTATCGATATCGCCTCGCTGGTTTCTTGGGTAGTCGGGATGGAGGCCGCCTCGCTGTTCCCTTCCTCGAGGATCGTAGGCGTATCCGTGTGGATTTCTCGCGCTGTCGTTGGCGTCTCTGGTTTGTCGCTCAGCCTCGAATCCAGGGATATCGCCTCGCTCGATTGCGCGGTGTCCAACGTCTCGCTGCGAGACTTGACGATCGCAGGACTCCCATCGCTCTCCGTGTTGTCTATCGAGTTCAAGTCGCAGCTGCACGACTCCTCCAGCCTGTCATTACCCTCCGTTGTGTCGAACTCCTGGAAACATCGTATCCAACATTGTTCATATATTGGCGGTATTACGATTTACGAAGGGAGTCAACAAGTATCGATCGCAAATCGTTCGTTTAATGCATTGAACATTCGTGAGAACGAATTTCGAACAGAGTATCGAAGTTTTATAAGTCGATACGATACGATTTTTAGATTTTTCGATGCCTTGATTTTGAAATCAGATATCAAAATATCGTGAATGGTACATCAAAATTCAAAGTATCGATCGCAAATCGTTCGTTTATTGCATTGAACAGCGTGAGAACGAATTTCCGAGTATCGAAGTTTTATAAGTCGATACGATACGATTTTTCGATTTTTCGATGCCTTGATTTTGAAATCAGATATCAGAATATTGTGAATGGTACGTCAAAATTACCAATATTAAATTATACGTATAAATTTTGCAATATATATATATTCGACCTTGTAATTCCTCTCCACGTGTTGCACATCGTGAGTCTGTTGATTGCTCCATGGTGACGGTTTGTTATAACCATTATTCCCCGAATGCTGTTGATCCCAGCCGGAGATAGTACTGATTGGCCTTTGCTGTCTCAGCTCAGGATCCGTGATGTTATCCGATCTTTGCCTTTCGTAATGCTCGTACATCTGAGCAAATTGAAGCTTAAATTCCTCGTAGGATACCTGAAATATTACTCAAGATTAATTACACGTGACGATATAATACATCAATTTAATCGTTTAACTTTTATCGAATTTTTTCCACCCGTTTCTGGAATCATCGACGAAGCTTACTCCTCGTGTACAATTTTTTCTCCAACGATTATACCCCGCCTTATATTTACCTTGGAGTGCACGATGGCCAAGGTGTCCACCCATACGCGCCATCCACCGTACTCGTGTTTGATAGCATGGTGAAGAAGCATGCGAAACAACGAGTACACCATGTCCGAGATTTTTTGCTCTTCCGTGTTCTTCGGATGAATGTACGCCATGGCTATAAGCCACTCCTGCCATACAGACATCTGTAGAACAGTTCGACGATTCTCTCGATTGTTGTTGCACAACAATGTCATATCCGAGAGGAACAGCTTCTTCACTTCGAGCAATTGTTCCGTTTGTTTTGATTGTCGAATCAGAGTCGCCACTACCTTAAGGATCACTGAAAATTGAGGTTCAATTTATTATTATTATTTCATTTATCGTTTACGTATTATATGTAATAGAATCACGTTACATTTTACAAGTTGATATCTTACTTGGATTTTCCAACCGATAATGGGATTCTGGTTCAGGATGCCTTGCGTAGAGGATCTGTTGACTAATGTGCTCCGTCATGATCTGTTTAGAAGATATCTTAGTTAGTTAAGATAATATATTGTTAAGCGAAAAGTTTGAAATTTTTATTTTTAATACCTCGTATAAAACGTTGTAGGTAGGCAATGACAAAGTTTCCTCGTTCAACAATAATCTTTCGGCCAATAACGTGTAGAGATTGTGAGGGCTCATTACGTCATATTTCCTTCTGCGAATTCGTTCACAACCATTAATATATATATATATATATATATATATATATATTTTTTCAATTTATTATTTTCACTTACTTGTGTGTACTGCGGCTTAAAAAGAATCCCAACAATTTCAAGGCTTGTAAACGTATTAATTGGCTCTCCGCCGCTAACAACTTAAAAATCGTCCTGACGCCTTGTTTCGCGTCGAAAGCAGGCACCATGGACGAGGGATGTTCCGACATTAAAGATATAAGCATTTGCAAAACGTCGTGTAAATTTTCATCCTGTAGGATAGGAGATTAAAAATTTCCAACGATCTTAATCTCGAATAACTTAATTTATTATTATTATTATTATTTTTTAGATCGTCGTTTAATTACCTCGTGTATTGTCGTCAGATAATTCAATATACTTTGCAGCTCGTCATCCTTCACCCCATTCCCTATCATAATCAATTGCTTCAGAAATAACAAAATGTAAGAACGTATTGTCAAAATATCCTTCTGCTGCGGCCTCGGCCCATCTGCAACCAAACGAGGAAAGATATTTATTTCGTTCGATCGATTGAAAGGTAACACGGTTACATTGTTTACTCACCAAGTCCTTTGGGAGTGATTCCACTCTTTGCTCGAGGATTGGCGACCCAGTAATAGTACTTGAGCGTGTGAACCGTTTGCAACACCGTGGACACTCTCCTTACGTTAGAATATATTTGCGTGTCACTGAGGAACTCTGTGGCCAAGTACGAATAAAGCCGGGTTTGCACCGGAGCCGGCGTATATATCCACAGAGCGGGATTAAAAAGGACGTGGTCCAATAGCTGCCATGTTAGGAATGAAAAGTAAAACAACTACATCACCATGGATCTGCCTGTCCTTCGGACACACCAATCTAGCCGACTTTTAATTCCGTTTCCTATTATTACATTCCTGCTTCTCACAATCAGGTACGTTTCTCATTATTATTTCATAAAGGACACAACGAGGATGGAAATGGAAAAAGAAAAAAATAATATACACCAATTATCGTTTTTTTTTTTTCATTGAGGAATTTTTGAAGAAGGAATTTAAGGTTTAAAAATGTGCAACAGGATATGTATATATATATATATATATATTTATGTAAAGGTAATGAAAAGGGTATAGGGAGGAATTTGAAGAAGAAAGATAGAAAATTGAGAGTGCCGATAAGTTCAGTTCACGACAGTTATCACAATCAAGATTGAGAAGAATATAGTGACACTTTATGAACATTCATGCACCGAGAAATGAATAATCAGAATTTGGTAGCTTCTGGAGGCAATATTGAGACGAAGAACGATCTAGTAGAAATTGGTCACTTTCGGACTCGATCGGTGTTCAAAAGTTTCTTAGAAATCAAATTCAAAATTTGGCCAATCTCTATCATTGTTCTCTGAAAACGCGGAAATTACACAAAATCGATGTCGTAACGCGTGTATATTTAAGTTTCAATTCTAAAAAAAAAAAAAAAAGAAAAAAAAAGTACTGAGAATGTCTTCCTTTCTTTCATGATTTGAGCTGTTCATCGAGAATAAATAAAAAAGGAAAGATTCAAAAGAATAAATAAAAAGGAAGGGGGTGTCCCAATATTTGAATTGTGCGCATAGAACGAAAATAATGAAAAACAGTAGCTTTCTTGAAGGCGATAGGCATCCTCGACGAAAGAGTATGAAGCAAAGTATCATAGATTTCGAACAAAAGACGTGGTAAAATTGTCATAAAAGTACGCTCTCGTGTAGCACCTTTCCGAAAAAAAAGAAAATTCAGACAAGTTCGGTCACAGCAAAGGTAATAATAATTTTTTTTTCAGCGTTGCAGTAAACGATAAAGAGAGAGAAAAAGAGAGAGAGAGAGAGAAAGAGAGAGAGGTTTGTTCGGTATGGAAGCAAAAATTTAGTGTGAACGAAAAATATATTTTGCGTAGCCATATTATGAAATCAGGAAGCCTAAAAGTCGGTAGATTGCATGCGATCCAAAGATTCGAGTCATAGCATAATGCCATTTCATTGAGGAAAAGTATAATACAATTCATGCTTTGAAATCATTGTGATGCATCGTGATCGTATCAACGAAAATATACACATACATTATATAAATAACAGCATATCGAGCATCTACACTAGCATTTTCTTCTTTTCTTTTTTTTCTTTTCTTTTTTTTTATTGTACAAGCGTTGCAACAAATATATATCGTACGGAACAGGTAAGTGTGAAGAGTGAAGAGTATACAATTGCTCTTGATAAATAATCTTTCATGCTGTTGTATAATGTATCGTGGGTGAAACGAAAAGAGGTGGATGGAGAATGAGAGGGGTTGTCACGTGTGAATGCACACCAAGTTTTCACGTTAAAACGTTTCGATGAAAATATAATATTGCTAAGGAATTTAAATGTTGATGTTAGAACAATTAAAGGATTGTTGTTGTCGTGGATACAAATGATTTAATGAGAGAGTTTTTCTAGAGTTTATGAGAGATTGTCTCGTATAACAGATTGCTATGCTTAAATAGTTTGATTATTTATGTCATCGATTTATGTTATCGAATATTCTTACGATATCGTGGTTAAAATAATTCATCGTATACAATTTTGATAAAAAAAAAAAAAATTGATATCAATGAATTTTGCATTAATTTGGAAAAAAAAATTATTTTTGACAGCACTGATGAATTATCCCCTTAACCACGAGCAATGCTTATACACGATTATATATACTTTATTTATCTTAAACTACTTTCGTGCAAACTAATCTGTCCCGTTCTTGCTTCTTCCTTCGAATCTACCACTGACTCAATCTAATTCCATCGAAACTTCTACCACTTTAACCACTTCTATCTCTCGTCTAATCAACTTACACGCTAACTATACTTAAACGCTAATTTAATTAAACTCTAGTCCGTAGGAGGAATCAAACTAATGACTAAATCGATACCTGTTTCAATAACAAGTCGCTGTTCGCGCTAAGACAAGTGACCAGATGTTTCGTCAGCTCCAAAAAGGAAGCGAGAACTTCCGTCGTAAGATGGTCTCTGCTCGCTCTCTGCAGCATGTAACTGATCACCAAAAACCCACGGTTTTGCACCATGTGTTGCTGCACCGTTTGCGAACTCTCCACAAGATCGCAAATAAACCCCAACAATTTCGAGCTGAAATTGGAAATTGGCCCAACGTCAAGACGTTGGAGAATATTCATTCGTTGTTATTCGACGATTTAATCGCTTTGGAAAGATATTTACCATAACGTTGGATCTCGTTTAACATCGTTGGGAGCTATACAATCGTAAGGCATATCTAGTTGCGAGAACAAAGGGAACAACACTTGAATGCCACCAATCGAATTTAACGTGCTATGAATGGAATGCGTGATGACAGCTTTAACATCCTACAAATAGTAAAAAAAATTATTTTAAACGTTCGATAGCTGGATTTCCAAGTGTTCTATATTCGGATAAAAAAAAAAAAAAAAAAAAAAAAAGAAAAAAAATTGGAATGCTTCGAGGAAAACGCGATTTTTTGACTCCTGCGTCAAAGGGAGTGTGCATTCGAATGCAAATCGGTATGTATTTTTTGGAATTCGGGTACACGGTGAAAAAAATATTCGTTGATTTTTTTTATATATCAGGTTTTTGCAAAGTTGCAATTGAAAAAAAAATTTTTTTTTTTGCTTTCAATATTTAAAAATAAATTCTTTCCGAAATAATAAAATTTAAATATTGTGTACATCGAAATATTTTTTAAAACAACTTTTTGAAATTTGCAGAATGAAAATACTGTATAAATTTCCCGAGCGTTCCATTTTTTTTTTTTTTTTATATCCAATTATATTCAGTATATATATTGGATTGCTCATACCTGTAGCATAAGGGCGTGTGGTGTATGTACAAAATAGGAGACGTTGCCTTTCGGTGCGCTTTGCAAGCAAAGTTGAGAATCCGTTGCTACCGGGTTGTACATGAACACAATCGCATTCGACAGTTTTCCATCGTAAAGCACCTATAAAATTATCCTTGTTAATATTGTCCACGAGTTAATTAATTATAATCTATTAAAATTCATTCCACTACGAGTCGAGTCACGATTAATCTTTGAAAATTTGCCAAATACAAATAAACAAGAATTATTTTCTTATGGAAGATAATAAGACAAAAAATATGTATAATTGCAATTTCAAAGGGAAATTTTCAAAGTTGACTCATAACTATCCAAATCGATTACATGAAAAATTGAGATGACAAACGTGCCACATATCACAAACGAAACAAAACGTGATATTAATTCAAACAGATTGTTATGAATCTTCGGAGGGATGTTTCACAATTATTTATCAAAGTTATACATCTTTTTTTTTTTTTCAGAATTATCTATCTTCGATGTCCATTACCAATAAATCTATCCAAAATACAACGAAGTGTATCATATTATCAGCTACGAAGAAAATCTTTGCTACGTTTAAAATAATACATTTATCACAGCACAATCATCAAACAAAGACAAATCATTAGAAGAATTCATCTACTAAATATACAATGAATAAATTAATCAGGGTATTGTTGCACAACTACGACTCATCAAAAAAGCATCAGGCAAAAAACAGAAACAGATAGCTTGGTGTACAGGTAAGTTGTGTGTACAGATAATAAAAAAAAAATTAAATTGTTTAATTTAAAAAATAAGCGAGTAACGATGGATACAAACGTCGTGTATCGAAGCAACGTCCTGGATGGAACGTTCATCTTTTGGGATAATGATTAATGATGATCGATAATTTCGGGTTTAATTACCTCTGATGTACTCGAACGCAGTAACAGAGTGATTAAACAATGTGCAAATCAAATGTAAACGGGATAAAATGAAAATAAAAATGCTTACAGTTTGCATACTTTGGTCCACCATGCTCGTGAGCTCCGGCTCATCACTCACCCTTTTGTGATTGTCAGGCAGATTCAGGTAACACTCGTTGTCAAAACGAAACTGACTCTGTGAACAGAATTGGAATGGAAACATTCAATGTTGAATATGTAATGGATCTACTGTGAATTCGAGGCGAGAGCTTTGCCAAGAAAATGGAAAAATTGCCAGGAAAAATTAAAGGCTCTCTTTTTTACCGAAGGAATTAAAGAGGAGAACTTTTTTTTTCTTTTAAATTATAATATCTCTTTTACATATTTTTGTATACTTGGAATTTTTGTAAGATGTAAACTTTGTTTTCTTGTCTTTTTTTTCTTTTTTAATAAATATGTAGATGAAAGCTACTTATAATTATAATTATTATGGGAATAAACGCAGAATGATTTTTCAAAAATTCTCATCCTCTTTTACATGGAATTTTTATATCATAAAAGAACTTTAATTCAATGAATATGTAAGAGGAAGAAAAGACTAATTTGAAACTACTTTTCGTGCCAACTATTATGAATTTTTAATGGAAATCTAATTTATATTAAACAAAGAAAGAAGGACTGATCTAAAAAATTTTTTTAAAATTATAATTTAAAAAATTTAAACTTCGTTTTATTTTTTTTTTTTTTTTTTTTTAATTTCGCGTACCTTATATCCAGGCCCCAGTCTATGCATAGCGCATATCTGATGCGTCGTCAGAGCTTCGCTGAACAGATAAATAGCGCTCATTTGTCCGCAAAACACGCGCTCTTCATCCAGTTCCGGTGTAGCCCCGATGTAACATTTGTCAAACGGCTGAAAGAAAGATTCGAACAATTTCATTCACTCTCGATTAAGGAATATTTTTCACGCGCGTTTTAATAATCGTGGTGACGAATTAATAGAGATCGAAATATCGAAATATCGCAAATTCACTTACGTCGTTTGTTGAAACGAACCACGCCATTTCAGTACTCGAAGCCAATTGACCGTTGACCAAACATTTAATTTCGCTCTTCGTCCACCTATTATATATGTACACTACGGCGATCATATACCACTGCGAAAATAAACGTTATCGATGCTTGTTGAAAATATATTTCTTATCAAGAATTTTTTTTTAACAATTTTTATCTGAACAATTTTCATTTTAATGAAAAAAGATAAAAAAAAAAAAGGAAAAATAAATAGTAGATAATAGTAATAGTTTGCGTACAATTGTTATTTCTATACGATCGAATGAAAGGCTATATGGTCTCAGTGTATTTTAATATACCATTCTTATTTTTTATAAATATTTATAATTACAAATTTTTATTACAAATGTTAAAATATTTCTTCGTTTCTTAATAATAATCATACAAGTTTTTGTTAATTTAAATATAATTCTATAAAATACAAAATGGAAGAAAATTATATTACAATCAAATATCTTCCAATATATTCGTCTTTAAAGTTTCCTCAAAATTTTCTCAAAAGTTAAAAGATTCTTTTCGTCTGTTCATCACTTTTCCATCTAGCCTTTCCAAATTTTAAACCATCATACCATTCCCCCTTATCTAGAAATGGGGAACGTGTCAAAATCAATTATCATGCAAATAATACCTTTCGTGGTTGAAATTCATATTTGACACAATGCTGGAAGCCCTTGCCCTTCACTTTCATAGAGGTGAGGACCAAGCAGTTCCCTACGAAATGCGCGGAGTATCCCACTCCCTTGCTAGTTTTAAAACTGGAAAAACACGTATCGACACAACAATTATGCATATTTCAAATCTTGAAGAAAAGAAAAATTTCAAAATTTCATATCGATCTAACTTTTAAAAGAATTTTAATAAAATGTCGTTTCTATATTTAAACGACATTTCTCCATCTTCATTTCAGTTTCGAAAATAACGATGTATTTCGTAGACGGGAACAACGGTTGTCGATCGTATGGAAATCGAATCGTTTCCGCGTGAAGGAATGCGATCAAATTGCTGCACGACGCGACGCTCCAATGGGAATCCTCTTTTTTCGCGCCAACTCAAACGGAGCTGCGTTTAATCAAATTTTCGAATGTTCGAAACGAAGGAATTTCATCGATGCACTTCTCTCTCTCTCTCTCTCTCTCTCTTTCTCTTTCTCTCTTTCTCTCTCTTTCTCTCTCTCTCTCTCTCTCGCTCTCTCTCTTATTTTCTATTCTGCCTTTTATTCCTCTTCTCGTTTCGCGTTGGGAGACGCGGGTCTCGAAGGTCAGAAACGTAAACGATTCTTTAAGGTAGCCGGCCACTTCCGATTCAAGAGTGTGTTCCCGCAAGAGGGCTTGATGTAAGAGCACTTACCAGTAGAGGTACGGCTTTTCTCGTTCGATATTAACGGAGTTGATGGGGTCCAGGCGGAACCATGTGGTAAACGTGAAACCATTCTCGTGTGGCCATTTTGCGAGCGGTGGCAGAACGATTGCCTGAAAATTTATCGTTGAAATGATTAAATAAACTTGAAGGAGGACGAAATCCCATCGTGATAATTTGTGAAAATTACTCTTTTTGTGTTCAAGATTTTAATTGGAATGTAAGTCGTTATTTTTAGGATATGTTTTATGTGCTTTTCAGACGATATTATATAAATTTATGTCTAGAATAGTATAGAAATTATAGAGAAATAAAAAGGAAATTATAAATAGTTAAGCGATTTCTGGCTTCTGGAAAAGAGTATTACATTTTTTATTTTTGTAATAATTTTTGTTATATGTTGAGAAAAGAAGAATAAAATTCAATTTATTATAAACAAAGGCAATCCTTTTTTCAAAATTTCTTAAAAAAAATTTATCATCTTCGCAAATTGACGGTATATTTAAATAATTCTTTAAAAAAAAAAAGCAATGAAGTTTCATAAATTTCATAAATTTTTGCATTGAATATATGCCTTCCCCGTATCTTTGGCTGAACTTGGTAACAGCCGCTTCTTCTTTGATTCATACTCTTTCAAAGTTGTACATTAAAGGAAACGTTCGAAACAGTTCCCTTCGAATAAGAAACTTCTTTTGCTTAACGTCCTCTGTCATATCGAAAAGTTTCCATCTCGACGAGAAACTCATTGAATATCTACCATCGTTCCCCGCATTGGGCGACATCTGTTTCGATCAGTTTTTATAAAGATTCCGCCATCTTTATCTTTTTATTCGAACGTAAAGTGAATAGTTGCTAAGTTAAAAATAAGATATATATGATAAGATATATACATTTCGATGTGACAGCAATTTATTTTTCCCTGGAAAGAGATTCATAACTCGAGAAGATTTTATTTAACTTTGAAATAAATGATTTATACTTTCTTCTCGCTTGTGGCAAATAAAACTCCAACAATTTCAATATTTGATTGCGTTATATAAATCGAATTTTTCAAAAATATATATCACAGACTACTATTTTTACTTTTAAAAATAAAAAAAAATATTAATCAAACGCTATATGTTAATTAAATTTAATTTTAGCACAATGAATTGATGCAAAAATAAAACAAATTATTCAGAATATTAAATATTTTTTTCGCTCCTAATTAATTAACTTCAATCACACGCGCACGAATCGTTTCATCGATCAATGCGAGCTATATTCTAAACACTATATCTCTTTTTATGTTAGAGAGAGACACATGCTCAATCTTGATCCTGTTCCAAAACGATTCAAACAATTGCAATCATTTTCCGCATCTGGACCAGTGTGAAGTTGAGCCATATTGAAGAATCAATACGTCATTTGATTCGACGGATTAAGCGCGAGTAGAAGTTCCGTGAAACAAGGCATAATTTTCTTATCGAAAGTTTAATAGAGTTCGGAATCGAACGGCATCTTCGACGTAACAAGGATATCCGGTGAATGGTGAGGTTTGGAGAAGGATGGAAATCGACTTACCGATCCCTTTCTACCGGGGAAACTAAAAAACACGTCGGGTCCGTTCCGTTGCGGCATCTGACGGAGCACGTTTAACAGTTTCGCCGAGTGTCGTGGCTGTGGAACAAACAAAAGATTGGAATTAGATTCTGAAAAATAGGTGGAACTTGTTTTAATAGAGTTTTATTCTATTATTATAGGGAGAGATAAATTTTTGTAATATAGAATTATAAATTATGTATAAAGATTGCAGGAAGATTTAAAAATTGAAGAGACGATTCTTAAAGTCAAAATAAAAACGAAAATCTAGAATGAAATATGTAATAATCGTCTACAAGGAAGAAAACGTCGTATGACTCGATTTAAACTCCATTGAATTTTATTAAAATTTTATTAAAAAGTTTAAATTATTATAATTTCGAAAATAATAAGGTTTAATCGATGAATGAACGATTATTGGAAATTTTTTAAAATGCTTTTTTATTTATCTGGATACGATTTCTGATTGCCGAGATATCAATGTTTGGTTTATTTTCTGACTGGTACTTTTGATGACAAAATCTTTATTCTTTTCATTATTTTTACATACAACAAGTCAAAATTTAAATTACGATTCGTTACGTTTGAATCGAATCACGTTCATTCGTATATATAAACAGCAAAGCAAAAAAAAAAAAACTAAATATATTTCTATTCTTGATTTTTGATTTATTTTAAAAAATCGTCCCTTCTGAAAAAAATGTTCGAATGGCTGGAGACTGTACATTATACATAATAAAAGATATAGAAAATAAAAGGAAGAAGGAATGAGTTGAAGATTGCAGAGCTGCGTCGGAAAGTTAAGAGTTTCGTTCACTTCTGATTCTAGAATAAGTTTTCTCTCGACGGAAAGTTTTTCTCCCCTTTTCTCTCTTCTTTTTTTCCTTTTCTTTTTCATAGATTCTTACCCATTTCCCTTTTACAGCTTTCATAGCACCGAATAAAAGTTTCAGCTCCTTCACCGTTATGCTGTAGCTGGCCAACACTCCAAGCATGTCGATTAATAGATCTGTCGAAAATTGATCCTCGTGTGAATCGAATTACGTATTCACCGTAACTACCTCCCCCCTTGAATAGGATTAGAACGATAAGGATTTACCTGCGACGACAGTTTCCGCGCGGGACAATCGAAGCAGCACGTGTTCGATGAGGCTTACGTCTGTACACGCTTGTAGATTCCGCACGCTCTTCCTCAAAATGGCGATGAACACGCTCCATATTTCGGCCTGAAAAGAAAAATTCGAACGTGAGAAAAATTTGTTAGTGTATCAAAGTGAATGAAAATTTAAATATAAGTTATTACAACGTTGGCTCCAACTATAAGTAAAGGATATTTCTTTGATATTTCTACGAAATATTTTCGTAGAAATTTTTGCTTTCAGAGAAATTTATCTTTCTATCCCTATGAAATGGTGGATTCAGATCGCGAGGTTTTTGTCCCACTTTCGGATAAAACGATTATCCAATGACGAATATCTAATAAATAATTAAGACTAATTAATAATTTGCAAACAAACATTAGTTCCATTAATCCGATCTATATATTTGTATCATATTTATCAAATGTACACACACACACACACACACACGCACACTCATTGATTTATTGATAATTTAGATATAAATATACTGGCAATTAGTACAATTAGTAATAATCCCACAGAGAAACGGGAGCAAATTCAATTATTTCGTTCGAGCAATTAATAAAATAATCAATATACAATTTATTAATTTAAATAAAACTCAAAAGCCTCGATTTCCTTACCACCAATTTCCACCAAACTCCTTCGAGGAACCTAACTTTAACATTTGCCCGCATGTATATAAGTCGCATTAATCGAGGCATTCGCCCATATGCACTGACAACCAATAAGGTCTGCCGTGGTAGTTCACGTAATGCTCCAACTATTGCACAACAGAACCTGATAAAGTTATCCGCCAGCACCGTCACCCGATCGGAGATCAAAAGTGAAACAGGCAACGAACTCTCGTAATCCGTTCGCTAATACGCTGAGGCGAAGTCGAGACGACACGCGGGAGAGGGTTGGGCGTCGAAACCGAGGCGAACGAGCCCAACGAGTCGAAATCCCGAAAATGCCGCGGCAAAATTTCCCAGAAATTTGGAATTCCTTGGAAAGTTTTCAATTGGATACGGGTTAAAGTGTATTCCATGTAACGGCGGTGGTTTTTCGTACGCGGAATTACAGGATGGACGCCTCGAGTTAATCCTCCGAGGGAGAAGCGAATGGAAGGACGCCCTCCTTAGGGATCTGTAACAAGCTCGTCGATAGGAGTAAACCAGATCTAAGGATGGGAAATCGAATAATTGTTATTGAACAATTAAGGAGAATTGAGTCGGGATCGGGATCGTGTGGAAAGAGGGCTTTGGAATAGTAAGTGGTGTTATATATATAATATATATTTTGGTATTTTAGTGATAATTAAAAATATAGTGTGTTTGAATTATTTTTATTCTTTATTTTTAAGTCATTTATGAATATTATTGATCTCTTGTAGAGATTTAATGCAGATCGTTGGATCTCGTAAATCAAATAATTTAAAAAAAAGAATTTTTAATTGGAAAATGTTGTAGGTTCTTTTTTTGGAATTATTGTATCACATTGTTTGATATTTTATAAATTGTTATATAAATTTTATATATTTATATAGTAAAAAGAAAAATGAAAGGCTAGAGTGAAGTTGTAAGTTGCAGATCAATAAGTTAAGTTTTTGGTCTATGTGCTTCGAAGAACGATCGGAAAAATTTCTAATTAGTAGTTCGATAAGCTATGTAGTGTGCATCCTATAGTTTAATTAAAAACAAATTTAATCTCTTTGAACTTTTACCTTCCTTTGATATATCTTTTGACACGTTTGGGCTTATACAAGACAAAATTATATTTATTTTCATAGGTGTTGTAGAGAAATATTTTTTGTCCTTATTTTATGTGCAAATTTTAATTAGTTTTATAAATTATATATCTTGAAAATTGAAAATACGAAATTTTTATTTTTTATTAATTATCAACGATAAGAATCGAGATTTTCTATTTTCAAATATTTATTTTAAATCGTTATATAATCTCCGTTTTATATTTTTCATCGTCTAACTAGATTTTTAAAATTATAATTTTTCTTTCTATGCTTTCGATTTTTAAATTATTCTATATATATGTAATAACATTTATTACACCAATTTAATTCATTGAGTGCATTTCGTAATTAAACGGTTAAAAGTAGTATATATATCACAAGTAAAGCTTTCATTAGAAATTATATACCGAAGTTTATAGCCTAAATTATATTCTATAGCTTGCGGCGTAAAATACTATGTACATACGTGTAAGGAATACGACGTACAAGAGTAGTTAATCAACCTATTAAATTGGAATTTCCCCTTTTAATTGCCAATGAGAAATAACTTTCAACGTGGATACATTAACACAAATATATATTCCATATTCGTTAAACGCATCAAAACACGTTATAATTATAACATCTAAAAATATAAGATTATATTTATGCCTTGAAAAAAGGAAAATAAAAATATTATTGCCAAATAAACAATGCTCGTTAATATTTTTAAATTTTCCTTCAAAATTCGTTCAAAAATATCCTTTCTTTGCGATTATGTCAATCTATATTTCTAAAAAAAAATATTTCACAAACATCAATAAAATTTTCCAATAAAATTATATTTAAAATAATATTTCACTGATCTCGTATATTCTCGTATATTCAAAATTTTCTCAAGACTTCTTATTTCTCGTATCTTCAAATCATGAAAAAAGTACGACTACAGCGACATCTAGAAATGAGAGAGAACGTTCGTCTCGTTTAACGAAAGTGTTAAAAGAGACGTGGAAAGAATTTACAAACCAGCTAACGTTGTTATTTTTGATATCGAATTTATTCAATGGATGTCTTCCTGTAATAACGGGATATTGTTTTCCAACGATATCGTTATCGTTTCGTGTTGAGACGATGCTGTAACGCGCATCGAGGCGCATAGACAATAAAACATAACCTAAATGAGATGTCGCTCGGGTAACACCGAATTCACCGTGGATCGTTAATAGTGATTCAAGATTTATCGTGACGATATATCTCTTGATCGAACACGCGATTACACGTGTCCCGGTGAAATTAAATTTTTCCCTCCGTTATCGTCCGTAGATTTGTATAAATTCCCTGTCGAATTTTCATTGGTTTCGCGTGATTTATTTTTCGATTAATCGCGGAATATATAAGTGTTTAATTAAAATTTTAATTCAATTTGTTATCATTGAATTAACGATCGATTTTCTATAGTAAATTCGAAATATTAATATATTAATATCAATTATTGAATTGGTCGATCATAAGTAAGTTAAAAAAAACAAATTTTCTTTGTATGTTTTTATACTCTCCGATATATCGTATCGTGCATCGATTTTAAATTGTGCATCATACCATTATTTGTTGATTGGAATTTAAATTTAAATTTGAATTAAACTTTCGTTAATCTTGATTTCGATATAAATGTTATATTTATTTTTAATCAGTTAAATATCCCATCTAAAAGTTCAAATATTCGATTTCAATTTACATTTTCAGAAATTTCTTCCCGGTATTATTGCTCGCTATTATTGCGGGAAGTAACATATATCGTTGAAAATATATGTCGCGAGGATCGCAGCTGATTTCTCGGCAATCGTGTTTTTCATGGGATCGTTCAATTTCGTCCCTCCATTTCGCTTGGTGCATTAAACCGTACTTGCCACCTACTTTTCAACAACCGTGTCACGCTAAAAGCTACCACCCGTGTACGGCTTTTAAAGCTGATTGCGACACCAAAGAGTGCTATTCTTTCGATAACATTACCATGTTTGATGGACATCATTCCTCTTTTTTATCTTCAGAAATTTTTCCAATTGCAAAGTCGATTTATTGGCTTTTCGATATATCAATTTATATAATTTTTCCATACTTTGCATATAAGAGAATGTGAAAACACGTCTTACGATTTTTATACAAATTGAAATAATTTACTGGAATTTCAAGATCAATTTAGAGAAAATTATTCAATAAAAAAGTTGATAAAATTGAGATTGATAAGACAAGTAATAATATAAATATCCCATAGAGAACGTGTCGTTAAAAGTTTCAAAAATTCTTTAACACGACGTATTCGCGTTAAATAATTTAAATTTTATTCGAGTAATTTTGTCTAAAATATTTTTAAAATATTTCAAATTCACATTCAAAGTTTAATTAATGCAGAGAAGTTAACGAAGATTGTACTCGTTAATTCAACACAAGAAGGTATAATGATATTCCATGGGATATTAATTCACTTAAATCAATTGATTATCTCTTCTTCGATTAAATATCGTTGCAAGTTCAGTTTTATATCGAGTATAAATATTTAATTTAATTACAACACACACGATATAAAAATATCGTTAAATTCAATTGCAGGGAATTTAAACGAATCGAGAGCAAACTTAATTTTCCAATCTTTCATCCGCGTCACCTTCTAATTCTCACGAGAGATCGTGTCTCGATTATTTGTTGTTATCTCCAGAAAATCCCTGTGGTGGAAAAACACTGGATCCTGATATATTTCGTTACATCCTTTGAAACTATCCATCTTTCATTTCGATCGTTTCTCCGCATTTTTCCGTAGCATCAATCCAAGGGAAGATATTAACGTGCCCTATATTTCGCCAACGATTTTAATCTCAATACGTCTCCGGATGAATTACGATAAGGGAAGTGACGTTCGCGACGTAATCTTTCGGGAAGCGAAATCGGAACTCTATTTACGGGGAACTCTCTTTTCAAAACAGAGAAAATACAGTGCTCGACGAGTAGGAAAAGTTCGAAAAAGAAAAAAGAAGAAGAAGAAGGGAGAAAAGAAAGAAAGAAAGAAAGAAAGAAAAAAAAAAAGAAATCGTACCGATTTCGTCGTTAAAAAGATTTAAAATCCGAGAGGAAGAACTGTGGCTGAAGAACCGACCTCGATTGCACTTTCTTTACAAGAATTACCGCTTCACATTTTAACACACAATCCAATGAGAAGAAGAATTCATGAAATATCAATGTAATTTATAATATATATATTATTAATAATTATTAAAGCTTTAAATTTGTTTCTTTGTTCCGATTTAAAATAAAAAAAAAAGAAACCAGCTCGTATTATCGCGAATATTTTTCAATTATTCCAGCTACGTTGTGCTCTTTC